GCTCCAGACTTTAAACGAATTAGTTAATAAGTGTAGCTAATTACCTTAAGTATGTATGAGATGATGGCTCTTAGTAAAAAATTTTTTTGCACTTTTCATTTAATTTTAAAACTTGTTTTTCATGCATGATTTAATAATTGGCTATAAATAGATCATCTTTAAAGTGTTTTTAGCTGATTTTTTAACTATTAGAACTAAGGATTTAAAGCAAAAACTTATCTAAGAGTTTATCTCATTCTGCATCTGAAAAAGTGACAAAAAGTTTATTTTTTCCTTCCAGGTGGGAATCATTAAAAGTGATTTAGCTAAAGTTTACATAAATACATCTTGTGCTGTTGTCCATCTTTAGTTTTCGCTTTTAGGCCTGAACCCACCACCTTTGTGCTTCTAGAAGAAAAATCAAACATTCAGTATTGATTCCTAATTGAGTACAGAAAAGTTCAGAGAGCCCCAGGTTGAGAAAAAACATTGAAATGTAGTCTGAAGTGTACTTTTGGCTGCAAAAACCCCATTGTGCACATTTGCAAACATGGCAGGTACAAGTGTTTCTCACTGAGCTACATCTGCTGGTTATTAGTTGGAGACACAAATAGACCACACCTGGAATCACAAAAATTTTAAACAGCAAAAAATGCTACATTTATTGGTGCAGTTAAAGTGTTTTCAAACGATTACATATTTTTTGCTATGTATTCACATGTACTTTGCAGTTTCTACACATTCCCTTTGCAATCTCATCCCAAATGTCAGTTTCTCTTTGTTTCTTCCCAGCCACAACTTAGTTTGCCAACTCTTCTAACGTTTTCTCACGTGTGTCTCACACTCAGGTGCACGGAAACTAATCAGAGAATGTCTCCAGATGCAGTGATGTTTCTGTGACGTTTGTCACTATTGTCATGTGGGCTTTTTGAACAGGTTGAAGTTTCCATCAAAATGAGAGGAAGACTGAGCCTGCCACGAGGAAATGATGATCTCTGACAAACATTTCTAGACATTTTGGAGGCTCCTTTCTAGATCCTGTTCAAAATTTGGGCACGTGTTTTATGATGTGTTGAAGCAAAGCATAAGTCTGACGTAGCATCCTGTGAATGTAGTAGACGGCTCTGGTGGGGCTGAGCAGAAAGGGGCATTATGGAAGTTTGACAGCCAAAACATGTATAGAAATAATACATTTCTTCTTCATACATTCTCTGCAATGCGCTGGTCCTGTAGAATGAGCCCTGGCATTTTTACTGTGATTGCCTGTTTTTCTGTAAAATCACAGAAAAAGAGAGATGCTCGGGTCGAGCAGGCTGCTTCATGCGCGTTCACGCTCAGGCATAGCCCATAGCATTTGCTATCCGTAGCTATAGCAGCAGAGAGTGAGGTAGTGCCAACTCAGCGACTTTGTCGCTGTTCCTAACGCCTTGTCGACAAACCTAGCTATATTTCTGAGGACCCTTAGCTACTTTCTTCTAGATATTTCCTGCAAATTAGCAACAAAATAGCCATTTTCGCTCCGAACCGTTCCTTGAACATTGTTTCAGCTGTCATCAAGGATATAAAAGTTACAGATACAGATCTAGTCACTTGTGCTATAACTCACCTGGTAAGATGTCAGACACTTATGCAGAAGACCCGGGTTCAAATCTGGATGTGAATGTAGTTAGTTTAGAGTTTCTTTTTTACATTAATGGTAAATTTTTTAACAGTAAGACGCCCAAATTTTTATTTGAGACTCGCCGAACGGCAATGAATTCACAGATAAAAAAGATATGAGTTCAACTTTCATTTTGGAACAATTTTTCAAGCAAGGGAAGGGAATGGTCTGAGCATGCAGGAAGACTGACCCATCTTAAACCTTTGTCGGCTGTGCTGAAGAGAAAGGTACACAACCAAATTATTTAATTAATTAGCTGCGTGTTGTCTTGCCCTCTGTCCTCTGGGCCACACACACACACACACACACACACACACACACACACGCGCGCGGGACTGTCTCTGCTGTTATTTTCGTTAAGGAGTGTGCACATACAGCATGCGTGCCTCGTGCACGAGGCTACTATTGAAGCTGCCGTTACGCTTTTGCCTGAGGGGGCAATCGCGGGCATAAAAATTCTAAACTCCGTAAAGTCCCTTTAAGTGATTTCTTAAACAACAGTGGCTTATTTGAAAAAAGCGTTAGTGTCTTGTTTTTGAGTGATGGACAAAATAGTGATCAACAGATTTAGGACTTTGTCTGGAGAAGTCAGGGCATTGCTCTGGTCTGTCATGGTAAAGACGCTGAACCAAAAGATAAATCTATCAGTTTATGTTTATGTATTTAGCAGATGCTTTTGTCCAAAGCAACTTACAAGTGATAATCGGCATGTTGCCCTTGAGGCTAACAACAACAGTAACAACAACAACTTGACATCAATCATGGAGAGGAGGGAACAAGGAGTGGACAGTAGAGGGGGGGACGGGTGCAGGGAGGGTGCTAGTTAAGAAGATGCTCTCTGAAGAGAAGGGTCTTCAGGAGTTTCTTGAAAATTGAAAAGGAAGCCCCTGTTCTGGTAGTGCTTGATATGTCATTCCACATTTGTGGAACGATGCATGAGAAGAGTCTGGATTGTCCTGAGCGTAGTGTAGGCACTGCTAGCCGACGATCATGTGATGACTGGAGCAGCCAGGCCGAGATGTAAGCCTTTGCAAGAGGATTCAGGTAGATGGGAGCTGTACCATCTCTGACTTTGTATGCTAGTGTTAGCAATTTGAATTTGATGCATGCTGCTAGCGGTAACCAGTGGAGCTCAATGAACAGAGGGGTGATGTGTGCTCTTTTTGGCTGATTGAAGACCACACGCGCCGCTGTGGTCTGGACCATTTGAAGAGGTCTCACAGTACAGCCTGGAAGACCAGTTAGAAGGGCATTGCAGTAATCGAGGCGGGAGATGACAGTAGATTGCACCAGGAGCTGGGTGGCATGTTGTGTTAGGTATGGTCTGATCTATCTTATGTTATACAGCGCAAAGCAGCATGAATGAGCAGCAGAGGCAACATGATCTTTAAAGGTCAGGTGTTCATCAATCACAACACCCAGATTTCGAACTGCCTTTGAAGGAGCCAGAGATAGGAAGTCATTTTGGATTGAGATATTGTGCTGAATGGATGGTTTTGCTGGGATGACAAGTAGTTCAGTTTTAGAGAGGTTGAGTTGGAGATGTTGGGATTTCATCCATTATGATATGTCAGAGAGACAGTTTGATATTCGTGCAGAGACAGTGTGGTCATCCGGTGGAAATGACAGATAGAGCTGGGTGTCATCTGCATAGCATAGTTTACCACCCACATTCCAACCCTCACCTTATGTCTGAAGATATAGGATCTGGATCGATACAACAATGTCATCGATACAAACTCGTGAAATTAGTTTTCTCCACAGGGTGACCAGATTTAGCCTCAGCGATAAGATAATGAGCTTTATTTTCCCATGAATGTCTGAAGTAGAGCTGCTGCTTCTCCGTGTTGGAAGGTCAGTTGATATGGTTCAGGCATCTGAGTAGGAAGCCTCCTGGCTCCCTTCTTCTTGGGGAAATCCAGACACATCCTACTGGGATGAGACACAGGGGCAGACCCATAACTCTGTTCAGATGGACATACTTCCTGTTTCTTAGCTGAGGTGAAGAAAAGTCTTTTAAGAAGCTGAATATGGAACTCAAGTTCCTTTCCACTCAAGCACTCAGAACTATTATAACCTGGATAAATATGATTCTACATCATTTACCTCCCAAACCACTTTGGTCTGCAAAATAAAAGTGATGATGATTTCAAAATCTGATTCTCTCTGGTGTTTGTGTGTCCACATGCGAATTTGCAAACATGCCAGTATCATTTAGAACATTCTCAAAGGAAACCAGAAAGCTTTTCATTGGAGTTGCTATTTGTGCCCCTCTGATCCACACAGATTTTCATCTTCCAAAGCTGTTCTCTCACGCCACTTATTAACACTGCACCCTTAAAGCTGCACTTTGATGTGAATCTAGTGCTAAAGTGGGAATTTATGGGGAAATATGGGGGACTCAAGTGCTGGCTTGCATAAAATACAATCCTTGATTTTATCTCTGCTCCGACAGCTCTTTTCCTTTGCTCTGGCTGGACTCATTTTAATTGTGTGCATCCTTAACAGCAGCTCAGAATGTTTCTTTACAGAAATTATTCAATATATGTATTTTTTTATTTTTTGCTTTTGTGTTTTTGTTTTTGTTTAAAGCAACTATGTGAGCCACTTCTACATCCCAGAGTATGAATAGTAATTTTTTGAGACAGTTGCTTGTATATCTTGTATTTGGAGAAGGTATGGCATTGAGTTTTGACTTTGACACCTGAGGGAAAAGGCAGTGGCTCAAATAAACCAAGCATTCAGCAAATCAAAAAAGTTTGGAGGATATTATTTTGCATTCATTGTTTTTCTGCTTTGCTTGCATCTGCATCAGCTGGGAGAAATTTATTTGCTTGGCCCTGGCAATCTCTGAGAAAGACACTCCATATTGCAATGGAAAAATAAATTGCTTTTTTTTCTACTTTTCTTTCTTACAACAATGGTTTGGGATGGACCTGAGAATAGCTGTCAATTTTGATACGATTAGATTCATAACAGATTGTGGATGAAGTGTGCATAGTTGGAATTTTAGGAAGAATAGCACATCCTCCACAATATTCAAAGGGAAAAGTGTGGTACATGTCTCTTCTTTCAGAGAACTAGTGCATACGTGTTTTCTTTAGACTGAATAAAGTCAGCATTAATGCTCCTGCTGTTATTTCTTCATTTGATTCCCTGCTTTGTTTTCCTTCCTTGTTCACTACTTATTTATTCACTCATTACTTACCCTCCCCTGCTATTTTGAAGCCAAACGTTTTACGATCTTGCCTCATTTGTTGGGCCTCTCTAAGGGTTGCACGTCTGCCTTTCATTTCTGGCTTTTTTCTTGTCTAAAGAATTTTATTTATTTATTTATTTATTTTTCTGAAATCTTTTGCAGAGTTGAAGCTGTGGGGTACCAGCGAGTGCTGCAGGTAGACCTGGAGGTGAATGGGTTGACGATGACTCAAGGGAGCAGGGAGGTGACATGGCAGGTGGAGTATCCACTCACCCGCACCCTGACCAGTGAGGTGCAGACCATAGTCCGTCTAGCACCACAAGACCTGGGTGGCATTGTGCCTCTAGCTATGGTAAGAAACCTCTAGCTGTCCTGGAGAAGCTCAAATCCAGTGCACATTTATGTTTTTTTTTCTTATTAGATGACTAATATAGAGGCAGGGAACAATGAAAACCCATTTTTAAATTAATATTTCTGATTATAATCAGAGTTGTTCATGCAGGGTGAACATGAAAACAGTCTCCTACACCTGTCTCCTGCATTAGCTTCTGATAGAAAATAGATGCTAGATTTGAAAATCCTGACAGATGACTTCTTATGCTTCTACAACCCCCCAAGACGCTTCACAACACAATCAGTCATTCACCCATTCACACACACATTCACACACTGGTGGTGATGAGCTACAATGTAGCCACAGCTGCCCTGGGGTGCACTGACGGAAGCGAGACTGCTGAACACTGTTACCACCGGTCCCTCCAACCACCACCAGCAGGCAAGGCAGATTGAGTGTCTTGCCCAAGCAATAAGCAGCATTGGCGGGAGCCGGGATTGAACCTGCAACCTTCTGATTATTGGGCAACCCACTCTACCGCCTGAGCTACTGCTTCCCAACAGTCATGGACTCACCCATCTTGGCTCATGATGGGGAAGGCTGTTGTTGGTTTAACGTCCAACAAACGGCAGGGTGTCTCAGCTATAGTAGAAGCTAACTGTTAGCATTAGCAACTCCAGAACACAGCAGAACTCCTCCAGGGTTGTGTCATTTGTGGAGAAAAAACATCCAGGTTGCAAGTCATGTTGCTTTCATCCAATCAGAAGCAAGATATCCAAAAATCAGGAAATAAGACTCCAAACCCTGTCGTCTGAAGCCACTTCCTCCTCTGGCTGAATTCCCCGTCCTCAAAAAGGCACTTCTGGGCATTAATTCCTACTAGAGACCACTGCAAATGATTTCATTAAATGAGTGTTTCTCCTTTAAGCCTTATGATGAAAAAAAAAACATAATTCAAACAATAATTAACCCACTTATGTGAAAATGTTTGCCAAAAAGCGAGAACACTTTTACCTTCTGATGCCCCTACAGTTTTGTAAGACTTGCAAAATCACAATTATGAATCCATTTTTAGGGCTCCGAGCCATTTTGGTTGCCAAGGCACATTATTCATACCAATCAGTGTCCTACACTTGTAGCCACAGGCTGGATTTAAGTGGGATGACAGTAAACAGCGAGCAGCTCCTAAAGAGGTCAGAGCAAATGCTCCAGATTAAAAAGAAAGAAAGAAAGAAAGAGAGCGAGCACTCTGCCATTGAAATGATAATAATAAAAGAGAAACTACTCACCCAATGTATGTTTAAAGGACTTCTTTTTTTAGTCTCAACTGGATTTGTAAAGAAACAGATTTTACCTGAGATGTTCAGACACAAAAGGCAGCTGGGTGGTATAGTGGTTAGCGTGTTACTTACTGTAACAAGTCAATGTTTTCTTCCCTGCCTCGGCTGTGTCAACCTTTCTCTGTGGAGTTTGCATGTTTTTCATGGGCCTTTGTGAGTTGTTTGAAGGTGCTCTGACTGCCTTTTGCAGGCTAAAGAAATAGATGCTGGGTTAACACTGATTCTAAATTAAATGTGAGAATGATTGTCTCAAGCCTTTGTTGGCCCTGGCAACCTGCCATCTGATGTATTAAAAGCCGTAGAAAATTTGAAACATAATTTTGACAAAAGTCGTTGGAAAGTTTATATTGTTTATAATATAAATAACATATATAAACTATATATGAACTTTATTTAGTCTTTAACATTTTTACACACTTATTTGATTCATAAAACATATTCTGCAAAGCTGAGAGCCAGAGAAAAGTGAAAAGCTGAAACTAGCTACAAGAAACACCTAAACTTGCAGAAAGTAACAATGTTTGGAAGTGAAGTAAAAAAAAAGTTTTAAATGGGACATATTATGTAAAAAATCACCTTTTGCATCATTTAATGTTGCTATGTGGATCTCTACTGTAAAGCCCTGCGCGGGACTGTTTTCTTCATCCCGCTTCTACCCGCTCCCGCTGAATCTCTGACCATTACCGCCCGCAACCGCAATGTGTGTGTTACACTCCTGCCCGCACCTGCAGTGTGCATGTCCACAACCACAAAGTGTGTGTTACACTCCTGCCCGCACCTGCAGTGTGCATGTCCACTCCCGCCTGAAACCGCAAAACCCGGAGAAATGATTACCTCACAATAAAAGAAATGTATTGAGTTTGTGTCCTCTCTGGTCCTGGAGAAAACATAATTTTATAGGCTATACAGAAACCACATGAGTCATTGTTTCATTTCTCAGGCCTGCACGTCTTGGTCAGGATTGACGTTCTTTGTTTTCATTTAGTTTTTAACCATTTAACACCGAGGCGTCACCAGGATCACTGGTGATGCCTCGGCGCATGTGATGTCAAATAACTCCTCACTACTTAAATTATAAAATTCTTAAAAAAAATACATAAAGGAGCTAGTACGATGTCCTGCTTAAACGAAAATCAAGGCCGTTTCATATTCTATTCTCCTCTGTAATCAGGCAGTGATCGAGGCCTCTTTTCTAAGAGACCTGATTGAGAAATATTAACACAATCGGCCTATAGACAACACAGCGCAGTGACTTTTAATAACTTCATTTTTATACATGTGTATAAAAAATTAACACAAACACATTGTACATAAAATAAACCGCTTTGCAAAATAAGTACCATATAAACATGAAAAACTGCAGATTTAAAGTTTTTTGCCGTATATGGCAGGTGTTCTGTTTGAAATAAAAATAAAAAAAAACGTTCAAACTTAGGCATGCCGCTCAGTAACACAGGCACCTAATTAACAAACAGCAACAGATTGAGTGGCTCAAATAACACTAATAAATAACAAAGATAACTTATAAAAAAAAAAAAAAATTTACTAATTAATCATTTGGTTGGAATATTGCTGTGGAGGAAGAGAATGTGGCTGACCGACTGCGGTCCCAATCCTGTGCGTCTCTCTTCCAAGATGCGCCCACAGACACTGAATGCCCTCTCTGAAGGCGCACTGGATGCTGGGATACTGAAAAAGAAACGAGCCAGCTTTGAGAGCGCTTGGAAGTGCTCTTTGTTGAACTTCCACCATTGAAGCATGTTGTTTGGGTCTGGGTTGTCACAGAGCCGGCAGGTGAGATAGTCAGAAATTTCATCATCGACCGACTTTGGCGCAGAAGCAAAGGATGCTTTGTCTTCCCAGTCTGCAAATCGTTCTGCGCTTTGCTTTTTGGCTGGTGGCTCATCCTCTGCTGTGGCTGGGACCGGGTCAAACAGCATCTTCTGAAAAATATAATTTGCGCCTTTAAAAAAGGATTTTATTCATATATAAATAAATATTTATTTTAAAAATGGCTCATGTCATTAATTTAGCTATTATGCCTTTCATTCATTGTCTTATCTCTCTTTCTATTTTTAAAATTCATTTTAATTATAATTGTAATTATAACTACATTGCATGCCATTTTCTGTTTTTATAAAAAACTAGGCAGCATACCTTTAATTGCATCTTCTCTTGCGTCTGAGGTCAGCATCCGTAGCAGTTGCATTTTAGGAGTCAGCAGTGTTGCAATCCTGTACATCATGTGGAGAGGGGATGCAGATGTGTCACTGGTGCCCATAAGTTCTTCCAGACGTGAGGCACACACATTGGCGACTTTAGAGAGCAAGGGCTCGTGGGATGCAGCTTGGCAGTGTTCAATGAGTCTCACGGACCACGGCAGCAGAAGTGATGCGCTGGGGGTGGAGTTGTCAGATTCTAGGTTATTAGTAGCATCCTTAAATAACTTAAGAAACACAACTACTGTTTTCAAAATGTGTCCATTGATCTGCACAATTCTTTCATATTGGTTGTTGCTCAGCAGTAATGTGGAGATTTCCTCATGCTGTTGAAGTATGGAATCCAACATGTCATAATTTGAATTCCATCGGGTCTCGACTGACTGCTTGAGAGATTTTTTCAAGTTGTTTTGCAGACCTCTGTTGTCACTTGGCTTCCCAGGGCTGGAGGCTAGGCAGGGGATCTGGCCGTCTGGTTGCGGTCTGGGGTGGTGGGTTGCTTTGCTCAGCGTTGGGCGGGGAAGCCTGCTCATCAGGACCCCAGCAGAAAGGGTCGAACTCTGGGAACTGGTAATGGATGTACCCCTTGTGCAGCAGGACCGGGACCAGAGTAAATAGGGTGTGTATGGGGAGAATGAGTGTGTGTCCGGCGTGCATTTTTGTAAGTCTTACCCCGGTCTCACACTGCAAGCATCAGCGGAAAGGAACAGCAGCGGAGCGGCTCACTCGCGAACTTCAAAGTGGTCCTTTTCACACCAGGAGAGTCTTGGCCACGGCACGGCTTCCTCGCTGCGCCTCGCTGTACCTGCGAGATTCTAAACTCCCTCGAGACTTCCGACACCTTCCTCATCAAGAGATCACAACCCCCGCGAGGAATCACACCGTTGCACTTCTCGAAAGAAACTGGTGGTAAACAAAGCCATTCAGTCACACGTACTGACGTAAGTTATACATACCATTGCAACCTTGCATTTAATTTAGAAAATAACCGGGGATTTTGCACTGAAACCGTGTGGTTTCCTGTCTCACACTGTGTGAACTGCGGAAATTGACTCGTCCCAGAAGCGGCTCGCGGAAAAAATAGAACTCGATCCTATCTTTAGCGGCGCTGCATGCCGCTTCTGGGACGCACCTGGAAATTGCCACGTCGCGGCTGGTTTGAAACACTCCATAGACCATAGGTTGTATGTGTGTGTGTGAGCATGAAGGAGGGAGTGTGTGACTGTGTTTGTGTATGACTGTATATGTCGGATGGGGCCTTTGACTCCTCCCCTCTCCTGGAACTTCTTTTGATGATATACATCTTCGTCTCCGCTCCCCCTGCCACACCTGGTGTGGAGTGCGATGCCTTGGTCTGCCTGAGTGTTCGTGGCTCCCTGGTCAGGGGGTTTTAAGATTTTTGGCATCTGCCTGATCAATCCCGGTGGCTACCTGGTGGGATCTGGGTCCCTGGGCTCTG